GCATTACAAATAACTGTGCGCAAGTGTTTATGATCTAAGCTAAAGTTTGATCATTTTCAAATCACACCCACATTGGTTTGGTTGTTGGTTTTTTGTTTGTTTTTGACAAATACTTGTCATCTGCAAAGCTGCATTTTAGCTTCTTATTGAATAACCTGCTGGCATAAGATAATCCTGCCTAGTTTACTGGATTGTTAGCACTGTAAGATCTAGAACTCTGTCTACATTGCCCACAAATGACAGTAGCTAGTACAAGGTTAGTATTCAACATGTATTTTCTGGATGAATGAATGAATCATTCAGCTTGTTGTTCATAATGTTGTCAATATCGTGTGCTATTTTTTTTATTATTATTAATATACGCACTCTCAGAAGAGCTAAGGAGCATAATTCTGGAGTCAGGTTGCCAGGATTCAAATCCTGGGACACCTCTTGCTAGCTGTACAACCTCTCACGTCCTTACTTTCTTTAATAATATGGGGTAATCTTACTGTCCACCCCATAAGATTTTTGTAAGGTAAATGTGATAATACATGTCAAACTGTACTTAGAACAAGGAAGTTTTCAATCGATATTAGTAATTACTATTATCATTAAATATCCACATCTTTTGTATTTATTTATCTACATGTCATTTTATTTAAGCACTGAGAAAAGTATTGTTCTTCAACGTTTCACGAGTATAATTTTAATAGCAAGGGGAAGGCAGAATAAATGTCTGCGTGCCAACCAGGGAGCCTGGAAAAAAGACATTTTAACCTAAAAGAAAGATGTGAGACATCATCACCCCTCCCTGACTCCGTTTACAAAAATTTGGGTAAATTTGGCAACTGCATCCCCACAGATGCTGGAACAAGCCATACTGTGACTATCCCTGTGTATTTGGGAGCCAGAGGACTTTGGCTGTGACTCATTGCTAAAGTTCTAGGGCAAATCAGGTCATAAGCCTGCCTGCACTTCCAGCCCTGGGCTTACACTGGAAATGCAAAATGGGATTAAACCTCATTTTTTGCAGATGTGGCTTGATATAGCCAGGTTTTACCTGTGCAGGCAACAATACATTGGAAGACTTTCTCTCCACGACTTAAGGCTACTGTCAATCAGGATTGGGGGTGCGGAGGAGCCCTAATGTTCCTTCTTCGCCCCTGCAGTGGTCTTGTTTCATCAGCATGATTTCCCCCCTCCAAACATGTCCCTGGTTGCTAAGGGATTATTTCCAGATCTTGGGGCTCCCTCTTTGTCCTATTCCAGACCACAGCAGGGTTTACCTTCTCCAATAGGGGTTTGGCAGAGCAAAAGGCACCATCCCAACCTCCTGTCAACTCAACAAGGAGAGATTTATTGCAATTCACTAAAAGGACACTTGTCACGACAGGAATGCCATATGCTTCAGCAAAGATAAGATCCCAGCTTTTGGCTGGCCTTTGCAAACAGTCCCACCATTGCAGCAATTTTTTTTTTTTCCCTGCACGTCATTAAGAGTGCGACCTTCAGAGGACCCAGGGGAGTCTCCAAGGTGGAGTCTCAGGCTGGCACTCAGTGAGATCACATCCAGGCCAGAAGTTCTCAAAAGACTGCAGCGACCACCACAGTCTTTGGATTGCCAGACCTTCCACTCAATGTTCACCCTCCTTTTTTTCCTTACAAACTGAGTCCTAGGTATATTGGGAACAGCAAACTGGTAGCTAAAAATACTACAGTTTCCCACAGGCCTTGCAAGGTCAAGATCAGTTACTTGCAAGGTGAAGTCTCCTAGAAATTTCTGGGGGAGTTTTGCCTTCACCCTTCCTTTCTGCCTCTCTCTAGTGTTTGGGATTTGTGAAGGCTGGTTTGGCTGATTCTAGGTTTCCTTTCAATTGCTTCCTGCATTGCAATTATATCCAAAGGTTTTGAAACTGCTGAGACTTCTAGATAATAAGAGAATTCCTGTAATAAGAGTTGATTACTTTTTAAAAGTTCATTTATAGGAGTGCCTGGGTGGTTCAGTGGGTTAAAGCCTCTGCCTTTGTCTCAGGTCATGATCCCAGGGTCCTGGGATTGAGCCCCACATTGGGCTCTTTGCTCAGCGGAGAGGCTGCTTCCTCCTCTCTCTCTCTGCCTGCCTCTCTGCCTACTTGTGATCTTCGTCTATCAAATAAATAAATAAAATCTTTTAAAAAACGTTTAGGGGCGCCTGGGTGGCTCAGTGGGTTAAAGCCTCTGCCTTCGGCCCAGGTCATGATCCCAGAGTGCTGGGATCGAGCCCCACATCGGGCTCTCTGTTCGGCAGGGAGCCTGCTTCCTCCTCTCTCTCTCTGCCTGCCTCTCTGCCTACTTGTGATCTCTGTCTTTCAAATAAATAAATAAAAAATCTTTAAAAAAAAAAAAGTCTAAAAGTTCATTTATACAGTTCAACACTGAATATTCTAAGTGAACATGATTACACATCTGCCCCTTTTCAAAGTTATTAATTCACAGCAGGCAGACATGAGATTAGGTAATTAATTACAGATAGGTCAAAAAGTTTGTGGAATGGGCCTTTTTTTTTCAATGAAAGGAAAGGATTTATTTTGCTACAGTGGGAAAAAAATGTGGAGTTCAGAAATTGCTGCATTTAACTGTATCCCCACTTAATCTCTGCACAATGTTTTATGGCGATGTTTCACTTCCCTTTACTTCATTTTCACACTAAGATTTTGAATGAGAAATATATCAAGTTGACTGATTGTTTGCCTTATCTGATCTAGGCTGGTTTCTACACCTCTCTTCTCTTTTTTCTCCCAGTAACTACTTTCCACTATGACAATTGCCATTTTGGAAGTGACAGGTGCCTGAGGGCAAAGGCATCAGAGCAATGAAGATCAGAATGTTTGCTAAGGATCATTTTTTTCATAGAGCAGAATGTAGTTTTACTGAATCCTTGAAATGCAGAACCAAATGAACCTCCTTTTTTGTGGAAAAAAACAATCCAAACTATTATAAACCCAAGAAACTAACAGAAGCACTTAAATCTTAGAACAAAATTTTTATTTTTCAAGCTTGGACATTTTTCTGAAGTACATTTGTAATCTAAATACTCCTCTCTCTTCTTTCTTTTGCAACATAACATTTCGATCTGTTTGTTTACATAATGAAGGCCTTAAGGAAAAGCCTTATTTGCATTCCCCCAAAAGAAATAAATATTTGTCTCTAGGATCCATTTAACTGGACTTGGCTAAATCCTGGTAGAGGCTCCGCTTTTTATATCAGACCCAGAAAATAAATTCTAATACTACAGCTAAGCAGTCCATTAAATTATTTAAATGCATGTATTGAGCTCCTATGATGTGCAAAGTATTGTTCCAAAGTAGACACTCTTCCTTAGATGTAAAGGGGGGCCACTGAAATGATAACTTTGGGAATTTATGACTTTGATATCCCCCAAAATACCCTAATGATAGGAAAAGTTTGCTGCCGCTGTTGCTCCTGTTGCTTCCTGAAATGTCCAGTTAATTTCTAGGGAATAACCTACCCATTGGAAGACTATGATGCAAACTTAAGCATTAATAAAAGATGGAGTCAGGGAGTAGTTGTGCCTTTGAGACACAACCCAGACGACGATGTAAAGTACATTCTGGTGATCTAAAATGCTAGCATTCGTACAAGGTGGTCTAAGAAATGATACCAGTTTAAAAAGAAACCAGTGCCAGCTTCAAAAGAAACAAGGATCAATTGCAATTTATAGAAGAAATAAAAACACAGAATCACTAAGCTCTCTCCCCAGTGCTGAGAATACAGTTCCTCAGACACTCTGCCACCACTGGGAAACATGGGGGTAGACTGGGTAAATTTAAAGCATGTTAAACAACTAAACAACACAGCCAAGTGTTGGGTGTGTGGTTCCCAAAGGCTTTTCAACATATTTTCAACATTATGGCTGTAGGAATGGAAATTGAAGAAATGGTAAGTATTTTCTTAGAGACAGCTTGTGATTCCCTACAGCTCCCAAAGTTAAAGTATAACACATCACCACATAAGCTATTTGCCTATCACCCACAAGACATAATGTCACAAGACATAATGTCATAAGACATGAGGCTGCCCTGGTCTGAGTGCCTCCCTCTCATGACTCTAATGGGTTCTTTTCCTCCCCGAACAAAATAGGTTCCCTTTCAGGTCAAGTGTTATTTGCTGGCAAAGTACCTTCAGGATAAATATGCTTGCATCCTTTCTATAGCCCGCAAGTCAAACCTCCATTGGGAAGCCTAAATTCGTCTGTGGTCTCTCTATTCAGAACTTCCCACATTTACCTAAAAGGATCACTCAGATCACTAGGAAATAAAATTCCCCCTCTCCTGGAGAGAGACTTATTCAAGGAGAGCAATGCTATTTCCAAGTCATGCCCCACCTTAGGAAGGCAAAACTCAGCGTCATCTCCTGAAAAGAGCCTCCACAGCCTCCCGATCAGAAACATGCTATTCCTATTATTTTCTAAACGTGGCATGGTGATTAAATACATTTAAATGCAAATAATAAACAGCAATTAAATAACAAACTTAAAATAAATTAAAAAAAAAAAAAAACAAGGCCCAGCAGTCTTCAGAGAAAGTAACAAAGGTCAATTTGCATTAAGTTCACGGTCCTTTGTGTACCAGTTCCTGCAATGAGTGGGCAACACTGCCCTCTAGAGGGGTATTTTGTTACATCCCTTACTTCGCTGGGTGGGAAATTGCCCCAGGACGCCCTGACAGATCCTGCACATACTCTTTCTTTCACTTTTGGGACCCTGTCTGTCCTTGACCTTCTGTGAATGACTCTGAAGACCATGGAGCCCCTGGGAGAGGCCGTGAGACTTCATGAACGCCCACGAGGGGATCAGAAACCAACAACATCTGTTGCAGTACTCTTCAAAACTTAGTGGATATCAGGATTCCCCTGTAGGCTTGTTTTAAACACAGGCTGCTGGGTCCCACCTCCAGAGTTTCTGATTCCTTAAGTCGACTGTTGAGTCCAAGAAGTTGCCTTTCTACCAAGTTCCCAGGTGATGCTAATGTTGCCAGTCGGACGGGGCGGGGGGAGGGGGGCACACACTTCCTGCGTCAGACACTGTGCTTGGCACTTCATCTCAATACCTTAAAACAGGGTGACTTTAGCATCTGTTTCACAGACCAGGAAGCCAAGTCTCAGAGAAATTAAGTGGCCAAGGTCCCACAGTAGTGACAGAGCCTATAATAAACCCAGGACTAACTCAAAGCCACTGCTCTCTTCTGTGCACTAGGATGCGGGTAAGGAAGGTTGTGCGTCACTTCATCGTCCTTGGCCTCAGCGGCTTGTTGCAAGGGGGTGGGATTCAGATGACCGTTTACTCGGTTTCCCTCCCAGAATATCCGGAGGTCTGGCTATGAAGCCCTTCAGAAATACCCACTCTGCCCCAGGCTGGATTTGAGAGCAGGCACCCAGAGGGTGGAAGGAAGAGTGTGTGAATGGGAGAGGCCCCTCTTGGGTCCTGAACCCTGCTACACAGTTCAGAGGGACCTGATTTGCTCCGGACTCTGGAGTTGTTTATACTCAGAAACTCTGGAAGAGAAGTTTTAAAAGCTAGTGTCTCCTCCTCATTTTGAGGACCTCAGAGCCTAGTGGGGCTTGGAGAGGCCCCAGAGGGTGGCCTCACACACAGCCTCCCCAACCTCTGCTCAAACCACCAGGGCTGGGGCAAGGACCGTGAGTCAACTTTAATACAGGGGCGCTCACCAGTGTGGCAACTGAACGGTTTTGATAAAGGAACAAGAGTTTTCAGTTCACATAGCCCATAGGATTAGGCAAGTAAAAAGTCCCTAGCACGCAACCCCAGGCAGGATGCCACGGTGATGGGAAAAGAAGGGCTCTGAGCACTCCCTCCTTCCCCCCAGTTTCAAGAACAGTCTTTCTCATCCTTTGCATTCCGCTCCTCATCCAACTTGGTGTTGTTTTCCTGAGGGAGCTACAAATCTGGAGCATCCCATGGGGATGGTTTTTGGCCTCGGTCATGAAGGTAAAGGATGTTCTCAGAAAAACAGCGCTGCGGACTGGTCAGCAGAGATCTTGAGGTCGCGGCCACGGCCGCCCTTCGTGCAGAGCTGGACTCTGGACTCCAGCTGCTCGCTGAGTTCGTCCAGGGCCCCGGTGCAGGACTCCAGGCTCTCCGCCAGTTTCTGAATCTTGGCCTTCAGCACAGCCTGGCTCACCCTGGTGGCCCCTTCCGCCCGCCTGGGGATAAGGAAGCCACGTGAGCCGAAGAAGACGACGCAGTAGACAGAGTTGTACAGGGCGATGGAGGCGTTCCGGCCGCACTGCAGCAGCTGGCGGTCCCCGCGGCCCTGGCAGCGGCAGAAGAACTCGAGGCAGCTCAGGATCTCGCGCATCTGATCCTGGCAGGTGGCGGCGATCTCCTGCACCCTGCGCAGCTCCCGGGAATTGCAGAAGATCAGGGCGAGGTCGGACGTGATGGTGACGGCCCCTCCGGCGGTCGCCACCCCCAGCCCCACGGCCGACGCCACCAGCGACACTCCCAGGGTGACCGGGCTGAGTGAGAGCCCCACAATGGCTGCCACAGCGCCCGCGGCGCTCAGCGAGCTGCCAGCCACATTGGCCGCCAGGGAGCGCCGGCGGAGGTGCTCGAGGCGCCGGGCCACCTCGCGCAGGCGCAGCACCTGCCCGTGCAGCCGGCCGCGGCGGTCCAGCAGCAGCCCCTGGAAGCGGCGCAGCGCGTCGGCGCCCTGCAGCTCCCGGGCCGCAGGCCGCTCCATGCCCTGCGGGGACACAGACGCGCGGTTAGAGTCCGGAGCCTCCGTGCCCGCCCGCGCCGCGCTCGCGCCTCCCGCACGCCCGGGTTAGACACGACAGCCCCGGCGGCGCCAGGGGGAAACAACAGGCCCCGCCCGGCGAGGCCTGCGTGTCGAGCTCGCAGAGACAGGTTCTGGAATCTGGAAGGAGCCACACAAGTTCTCGGGACCTTAAAACGCACATGCAAGCGGGAGGGAGGCTCTGGTCCGCTTCTCTCCGGGGGAGCGTTGAGGGTGCACTTGATTAACTGTTCCATAAGCTCAGGGAGGAGGGAGTGGTGGCTCTGGAAATCTACTACGCTGAGGCCTCTGCTCTGCTCGAAGGATCACACTTCGCAGGTGCTGGGTTGTACCAGCTCACAAAGCCCTTTCCTTACATGAAGACTTGGATCCTACGAGTTTGGCAAGACATTTTTTTTCCCCTCTGATAAGAGAAAAAGACAAGCCCCCCCCCAAAACTCAAAAATCATACTGTCTCTTGGATGTAAGAAACTAATCTTTCTAAGTTAGATGGTTCCCTGAAGCGACTCTCCTGCTTGTTATTTTTCCAGGTTCTGACTTTAGAATCAAGCCTAAGATGTCCTTTGGGCAGTTTTTTCTATTCTCATTCTTTGGTGGGTGCACAATTAAAACTAAATTGCATTAAATTAATACCACTGTGTTTCTTTATGATGAAATCTTTCTTTAAAAATGAATAATGGCTTGCTCAGCGGGGAGCCTGCTTCCTCCTCTCTCTCTGCCTGCCTCTCTGCTTACTTGTGATTTCTCTCTGTCAAATAAATAAATAAAATCTTTAAAAAAAATGAATAATGGCTGAATAAAATAAAGTGCCCAACATTTTAGTTTAACAACTCACCGAGGGCTACCTCGTACCAAGTTGAAGTCAACTGAAGATGACTAAGAAAGAGAACTGTGTTTCTGGGATAAAGGTACCTCCTTCCTAGTTGCTAGAGAGTCCCACCTTCATATCCACTGTACTCCTCGTTATTAGGAACTTTTCGAAAGTGGCAAATGAGCCATAGAAATAGAGCATTTCAATACTGTGAGGTATCAGAGCAGAATCATTTTCTCCTCTGAAAGATGAGGAAATCGAAATACAGACATGTTCTAGATGCTGCTGATTCTTCACAGAACCTTCTAGAATCTTGGTCTCCTGACTCCTTGGTCTTAATTTTATTTGCATGCCCTGGTTATCCCACCCACCAGTGAAACATTCCCAGGCAAAGACACCTCTTAGCAAAATGAGGAAACGTCACAGAAAATATGTAGTGGACCAAGGATATAACCCCAGGATTACAATTCCAATGGCTGTCTTTTAGAATCCCTCTCGCCTCCCCCACTTACCATTCACTTCTGGCTATCTCCAGGAAAGAAAAATCTGAGGCTGTTTCTGGATGAGCATATTTTATAGTCCCAGAGATCCAATGACTGCCCTGGGAAAGCCTTGTCTCATTCTGAGAATTTGCCATTTCCTGTCCTAGCCCCTGCTGCCTTCAACCAGAAGGATGTGACATGGTGGAAAATGACCTGCCAGCCACATAGCACATCCCGTATTTAGGAAACGAACATTGTGTATTCGCTTTCCCCCAAACGCAGGAAAAGACCCACAGGCTCTTCCCCAACTTGAAACAAGTGTTGTCATTCTCCCAGGGGGCATACCCTGCCTTTCCTCTCCTGAGAATAGCTAATGACGTTATATGGGAGGACAAAAAACGCACCCTAGGCTGACCAATTATAGTGTTTCTTGAGAAGACATCATTACAAAATCATTTTTTTTAAAAGAAAAAGAAAGGAGGGAACCCTCTCATGTCTGATATAGCCACTTATAGTCCACTGTTGTATTTTAAAAAGCATGATGAGGCTGCGTGGTTGAAACGCGATCCACTCAGAGTGCAGTCTTAAGAATGTAAGGCCACACCCACAGGAAGTGCTCCGTGCAGTTTCGGGCATCTCCAGCTGTGGAGAAGATGCTGGAGGTCTCAGAAAGGGCACATGGCAGGCCAAATACGTCAGAGAAATCAGTGGGGTCAGGCTGCACAAGGAGCTAATTATACACTTTCAACAGCAGCTGCGATTTGGCTTCCTGGGTTTTCATTTGAAGTGGCAGTTGTGGCCCATGTAATAGTTAAGTGAACAGATTTTAGTCCCAGGTTAGTGGAACATAGGCTGAAGGGCAATTATCTGGGTAATTCAGGAGGAAAAAGCACGTATAGCATCCGTGGCTGCTTTCTGGGGCATTCAGATCAGTGTCTGGAGCTCAGCTGGGAAACCTCAAATACATCATCCTTCTCGTTCTTGCACCTTCCATTGAGGAAGGGCAAGTTGGTTTTTCACTTAAATAATCATTGTCCCAACTCTCTGGTTCATCTAGAAGGTCTTAACAGCCTTTTCTTTCTGGAACACAATTAAATTCCCCACCTTTTTAACTATGCTTGGTATTTATCAACACAACACCATTTGCTACTACTTACAACCATAGTCCTTTTTTTTTTTTTAAGATTTTATTTATTTATTTGAAGGAGAGAGCAAGCATGAACAGGAGGAGGGGCAGATGGAGAGGGAGAAACAGACTCCCCACTGAGCAGGGAGCCCGATGTGAGACTTGATCCCAAGACCCAGAGATCATGACCTGAGCCAAAGGCAGACCCTTAACCACTGGAGCAACCCAGGTGCCCCATAAACTATTCTTCAGTTTCCAGCTTTCCTTGCTATTTTCTTGTGTGTTGGGGGTTTAGATGACTATGATTAAATTTTTATCTCTTGGATGAGGAATTTTAATGGGATACAGAAGGATCATCTTCTTTGGAGCATGAGTAATCATAGTACAGACCTGTACTATGAAGAAGAAAGAGAAAGTATAGGAGAATGGTCAACATAATACTTTGAATTATTTATAAGAATGGACACTTGAGGGGCGCCTGGGTGGCTCAGTTGGTTAAGCATCTGCCTTTGGCTCAGGTCATGATCCCAGGACCCTGGGATCAAGCCCCGCGTCAAGCCCCGCATTGGGCTCCTTGCTTAGCAGGGATCCTGCTTCTCCCTCCCCCTCTGTCTGCCCCTCTCCCTGCTTGTATACCCTCTCTCTGTGTCAAATAAATAAAATCTTAAAAAAAAAAAAACTTTAAAAAATAAAAATGAAACATTTCTCAAGTTATAAAAAGTTGTGGTTTTTTTAATTGCAATGTAATGTATCTCACAATGTCAGTATTTTACTACTCACAAACTAAGCATAGGATTTATAAAATATTAATTCACAGTGCACTACAGGGGTAAAGCAACACAAGTTTAGAATTATATGATGAGGACTTTTTCCTTTTAATCTTTATCAGTATATCTCAGTGACTATACATAGAACCTCTTTGGAGACTATTCATGACTGTGAGGTCTCTCAAACTTTCCTTTGTTAATAGGTCCTAATATGTACAGTCACTCAAATAAAAGTAAGTGAAAAGAATAACTCCTATCCATCTGAGGAATTTTGTCCTTGTGTTTCATTAATGTCTTGTGAATGTAAGTGCTCTAGAACATAATGAAGCTCTCAGAATTGCTTGTTGAATTTAACTAAACAGGGGCGCCTGGGTGGCTCAGTCAGTTGAGCGTCTGCCTTCGGCTCAGGTCATGATCCCAGGTTATTGGAATCGAGCCCTGCATCAGGCTCCCTGCTCAGTGAGGAGTCTGCTTCTCCTTCTCCTTCTGCCTCTCCCCCTGCTCATGCTTCCTCTCTCTCTCGAGCAAATAAAATCTTAAAAAGAAAGAAAGAAAGAAAGAAAGAAACTAAAGTATTTTTGTTCTCTCAAAGAAATGTCATTATTTTCATAATTTTATGAGAATTTAGCATGAAATTCTCTCTTGGAATATGTAAGCTGGTAGATTACTTAGATCGCTATACACCAGAGGACTTTCAGAACATTATGTTGCAATGATATCTCAACTATTATTGTCATCAACTCATGGAATGCACAGGGAAAAAAAAAAACATCCAGTGAACTCCAGCCATCTTCATTTTTCCATACTGGCCTCTGAAGTTTGTTAATGTACACACTTCTCGTTAACCACTATTGTTTAAACGCTGGTCTGTGTTCTTTTTCCCACTTAACGTTTCTGCAGATACACACTTCTCTATGTTGACACAGTCCTCACCTCTGTCATTTTTAATAGCTATGTAATAATCCTATTGTTTGCTTAGTCATTTCCCTATTAGACACTTGGATAGCTTCCAGGGTTTGGTGTTTTTTTTTTCCCCACAATTATAACTAGAGTTGCCTGGAACATCTGTGTACATTTTACCCATTTGGATTATTTCTTTGGGGAGTATTCACAAATAGGAAAATCCCAAGTGAAGGAAGGAGAACATTTTTGTAGTTTTTGTTACACGTGACTATACTGCTTTCCAGAAGAACCATTTTAAAATGCCCTTAGCTTTTAGGAACCCCAGCTGTAGGATTTAAGACAACTCAGTTTTCTTATATAATGGTTCACTTGCTTGGTTTATTTCACCTCTGTGAATGTGTATTGGAAACCTACTGTGTGCCAGGCATCATGTTAGATTTTGAGGACTAAAACCTGAATAAGACACCATTTCTGTCCTCCAGGAAATGGCAGTCTGTTAGACTGAAAGCTACAGAAAAAAATCATTTCAAGTCGATGTGGAGAGTGTCAGATGTGTGTGCACTGAGAAAGCAGAGGGAAAGTGCATGCCTAGGAAGTTCCAGGGAGGGCTTTCTGGAAGCGTATCTACTTGAGAGTTGAACAGATGTTATTTGGACAGAATTAGGAGGGAGAGGACGGAAGAAAAGAACGGAATGGACAAAGGCATGGAGGAATGTTCAAGATGTTTTAGACAATTCCACTTGGCTAAGCATAAAGCTGGGACTGTCCAGGAATGAGGCTGAGAGGGTATGTACAGATAAATCCTGATGGCTCTCAAATGCCACATGGGGGATAGGGAGCCAGGGAAGGCCTTAATCTGTGGCTTTACAGGGTTAGATTTGCCATCACTGACAGTTGTATGAAGGACGGTTTCCAGAGAAACACAGTTAAAAGGCCAGAAATGAGTTAGAAGGCTACTAAAGTAAATGAATGAGATTATTGTGGATTTAACAAGTATTGCCAAGACGGAATGGAGTAGATAAAAGAAAAAATATGTATTTTGGAGTGGTCTTTTTTTAAGGTTTTTTATTTATTTTTGCAGAGAGAGAGAGAGCAAGCACACACTCAGAAGCCAGCAGGGGGCCAGAGGGAGAAGCAGACTCCCCACTAAGCAAGGAATCCAATGTGGGACTGGATCCCAGGGCTCTGGGATCATGACCTGAGCTGAAGACAGGTGCTTAACCAGCTGAGCCACCGAGGTGCCCAAGAAAATATCTATTTTGAAACAAAACTGGCAACTCATCGTTAAAGTTTCTGCTCAGACATGGCACTACTTATCATACCCACTTACATTCTATTGGTCAACCAAGTCACATGGCCAACAACGATGGGATAAAGAAGTAACTCCTGCCACAGCAGGAGGCAAGAGGAAGAAATGCAAACCATCAGGCCATCTACCAGAGTGCTTTTCTTGTGGAGGAGATACATATTCCAAGATGAACTACGACACCACAAGCCATCTCATACACTCTCTTCGTCCTCAGTTATTTCTCGGGAATTAGAGTCTCTCTGTGAATATAGAAAGCATCTCACTCTGGCTAATATAATCAAACTATTGGAAACTATGGATATGTGCCTGCAGGAGCGTGCCTGAGAATGAACCAAGGAGCTCTGCCAAACCAAAGCTGGAAGGATAGCAGCTGTCTTACAGCTGGAATGGCCTGTTTGGATGCCACTGACCAACCACTGCTCTTTCTTGTACTGGCATCAGCTTACGCATCAAAATTCTAGGAGTGACCACTGGCTTGGCCGAGCTTGGGTCAAGTGCCCATCCCCCGTCTGCACTGGGTAGAGAGAGGGAGAGTGAATCATTCCAGC